GGTGGGACCTGGGGATCTTAGAGGTCTTTGCCAACCACCGAGACGCTGTGATTCTAAAATGCTTGGAATGAGAGCAAAAAATGTCAGCATGACGTTTAACAGGCGCAGTTAGCAATGTGCTGAGCTCCCTCCCCCTGCAGCAGGTTAATACAGCTCATTTTAGAGACTAATCTTGAAATTTTAAATTCCAATGCTTGCAATTGAAATACTGTTTGGAGCAGCTGCTCCAATGGTAACCTGCTCTGGAAAACATCTCGAGGAAGCAGCTAGTTTATTTTTATATGAGTTATAATATTACAACCACATATCTGTTGAGATTTCCCAGCAGAAAAAACACAGAACAGGAACGTATGTTGGTATTGTAAGGGCACAAATTGGGGTGTCAGAGTTGATTTCACACCTTGAGCTGTTCTTCAGTGAAACACAAGAAGAGCATCGCTCAAGAACGTATCAGCTTAGCGCTGCTCTTCGTTCAGTTTTATTGTCCAGCACAGCAAACCTCTGCCATTCCACAGCCAGCAGGATGCTTTCGCCTTCCCAGAGCCAGAGCCTGGATCCTTTATCCAAGCAACAACTGTGGAAGACACCTTTCACCTTCAGCATTCCTTCCTACAGTGCCTACCTATGAGCTGCTGCAGTTCCTGCAATGCATGCTACTAACAGTGAGGCCCAGCAGTCATCAGAGAACAAGAGCAGCCCTGAGCCATTTGCTAAATCCGACCTGACAAGCAATCAAACATGCCTAGATTTGATAGTAAGTTTCCATACTTGAAAAAAACAGGATGTAACGGTTCATTTGGCAAAAACTACTTCATTTTTCCCTTTCTGTGTGTCCAGCTCTTCTATTCAACCCAGCCATGGCTTTTAAGATGCACGCCAAGGTTTGTTCTGGAACAGTTTGGGCTGTAACGTAAGGAGCTGCTGATTACCAGCTCTGGAAGCAAACAGCAGCGCTCCTCACCTGACTCTGGGCTCTCCAGTTTTCAGTTCACTGTTTTGCTCTGCTATACATTTTGCTTCAGGTTTAGAGGGTGAAGCTATCTGTTATGCTCTCGGTGTTGGTTAGAGGGAATCGGGACATTTCAGACAAAGCAGCAGCTCTGCTCTCAGAGCCATGCACACCTCCTTCCTGCAAACAGCACCAGGATGTCACTTCTCAGTTTCATCCATATGGCACAGATGCAGCTACTAAATAATCTGTGGGAGAGGAACGACAGCTAACCCTAACCCAAGCATCAGAAATAACTGCAATTCAGGGTTAGAATTAATGTTTGGGCTAGAAAACTCATCTGTTTTCTAGTTTAGGTTCTTAACTAAACTAGGTTTAGGTTTTTAGGGAGCATGTATTTTGGTTTCTGTCATCGTTTAACTAATAGAAATCCTGTTAAGAAAATGTGAAGTAAGAATATATATATGTATGTACATTTACATCCTTCTTAAGAAACTTAGCTAACGATTCAAGGCCATCACGACTACCAATACCAACCACTTCAGTATTACCTGGTGTCTTACTGAAAGCACCCTTGGCCTGCCCAAAGCAAGTATTTTCAACTGAAGGACTAATAAGTCAGCATTAATGCTTTCAAAAGCATTTTTGAATGATTTAGAATACATAAAACCATCAGCTACGATGCTTTCACATGGACCAGGAAGCATCACTCATCACATGCCAATGTGGAGCAGTTGAAAAACGAGGCACAGCATTCAGCAGAAGCCAACGTGCATGAGAAAGGTATCAGACTTTGATCCAAAAACGTCCACAGCTTCTCAAGGACCTTGGAATTAGTCAGTGTGTTCAGTGTCAGGAGTTGGGGTCAGAAGCAACTCTTTCAGATTACCTTTGAAGAACTCTGTCAGAATGTCATCCAGGGAGCTCGCACCACCCTTCCTGTGTTGTGCCATGTAGCTGCCATTGGATTTCAAACCCCGTTACCAAAAAGTGATACTCACAATACACGCTTGATGTCAGACACAATTAAAATGTAACTTAAATAACACTCGGCCAGGCTAAGAAAACAAAAGTGATAGAATGTATTTCAAACACTGCATTTATTACAAAGGTGCAAAGAGTTTATGCCATTTCTTTTGA